GCCATTGCCGCCTGCCTCTGCCCCCACCGGCCAGGGGGCCTCTGCCACCTCTGCCGCAGCCCCCGCCGATGTGGCTTTGTCCAAAAGGAAGGACGTCTGGAAGGACATCTGGTCTAATTAGCATATTATGCTTTTATTATTATAGATTTCCACTTATTGATATAGTCCATCTGTTAAATTTTATAGAATCATATCGTTTTTAAAATATATAGTTAGCAGACTTGTTATTTGTCACTGTAGAGTACTTGTTTATGTTTACAAGTTTGCCCAGGTACTTCTATAAGATTAGGCATTTGGTGGTTTTTAATTTTTTCTTGTTATAATAGTGCCATAATTTTTTTCAGGTTGGCGTGAATGTTCATAGCTATAAAGCTAACCCAAAGTAAGGACTTAGAAGATATTTCTGTACCATGTGTGGTCACAGGCCGTTTTATTTTTTTAAACATTGGAAAACCCTACAGGGATCTGTTCTATATTTGAAATAAGGTTCTTAAGCTTTTCTCCCAAAGTATTTCCCATAGAATTAACATAGCTTCTATAAAAGTGACTTCATGTTGATGTGTGGATCATTCTTGCTGCTTAAGATGAAAAGCATTGACTTTTTTAAAATTAGAAAATAAAATATATATTAAAACTTATTTCCTATGTTCATACAAAGGATGTAGTTAAAATTTTTTCATAGGCTTATCTATTCTTGCAAAATTTTCAGTTAAGAGGTTATTAGGTCTATAATTGACTTCTTAACTGAATGTCATGTGGTTTTAAGGCCACGGGGTACAGGTCGTCCTTTGTTTGTAAGCACCACTGATCCAGGGATCATTGTCTGAATATATTAGTATTGTATTTTAGCTTGCTTTTGACTTTTTGCTTTTTAATTTCCAGATTGTAAGTGTTCCCTCTTTGGGGCCAGTTCTTATAAAAATGTTTATTGTAAAGTTATATATTTTGTCTACAATAGGATTATGCACTTCCCAGTTGGGATTTTACATCAGGATTTTTAGTCATTCTAAAAAATATCTAATTATTAAATAAAAATATTTATGGAGTGCCTACGGTGTTTATGGATTACTTATGTGGTATATTTTGAATAACAGTATATTGTCAGAAGAAAGGTGAATAAAACAACATTGGATTGTAAATTGACAGAGTCTGTCCATTATATTATTGAAATTTTTTTTTTTTTACTCTTTATACTTTTTTTTTAATGTATTTTTTTATTGGTTTCAGAGAGAAAGAGAGAAGGAGAGAGAGATAGAAACATCAATGATGAGAGAGAATCATTGATCGGCTGCCTCATGCATGCCCCCCACTGGGGACCGAGCCCGCAACCCAGGCATGTGCCCTTGGCCGGAATCGAACCTGGGACCCTTCAGTCCGCAGGCTGACGCTCTATCCACTGAGCCAAGCCGGCCAGGGCTCTTTATACTTTTTTTGAGATAGAATTCCTGTAATCAAATTCACTCTTTTAAAGTATACAACTTAATGTTTTGTTTTGTTTTTTAAGTCGTGGTAAGAAAATCCTAAAATGCAAAAAATCAACCTCAGACCTCAACACCTTTCTACCTTCAGTGGTAATTACATGTAACTTTTTAAAACTCTACCTTTATCCTATCTAATAAAGAGGGAATATGCTAATTGACCATCATGCCATCACAAAGATGGCGGCACCCACAGCGGAGGCGGGGTTTCTGTAACACAAGATGGCTGCACCCACAGCGGAGGCCGAGTTCCCATACGACCCTTAATGAGCAATCAGCAGGGACCTGAGGCTGCGTGGCGCTGGGCCGGGGCAGGGAACCTGAGGCTGCGCTCCCCACCCGGTGGGGCTTGACAGGGGGCCTCAGGCCGCTCCCCCTGCCCTGGTGCCAGGCTGGGGGACCTCAGGCTGC